GTTTCAAATGATTTTTCTTAGTAATTTTCCTAATATGCCATCACTGAAAAGTCTAAGAATGCAACCTAAAACAATGGTTTTAATGCCCACAAGTCAATGAAAGAAACATGGTCTTTCTCCTTTTTTTTTCTTTTTCTGCTTAATGGCTTGTATCTTTTATCTTGTCACATAGTTCAATGACATAGAATTGTAATAAATTAGTTTTGCAATTATCAAACTCTTCAGCTTCTCTTTGGCATTTAACGAACCTCAGAAGCAGTTTATATGCTTCATATACTTTGCCATCATGAATATTAGCCTTTAATTAACTGAAACTCTAATCTTAATCTTTCTAGCTATGTTGCAATGAAATATTTTTGTTAGGTTGAAGAAGATAATATTTGTTAGTGTTTTTCCAATATATGGAATACTTTCAGATTGACCTTTTTATTCAGTAATTGTAACAACATAAAACATAAGACAAACCTTATTATCACAAAAGCTTTGTGTACTTTCTTTTTGTATATTTTACTTAGCAATATAAAATCACAAAGAACCTTCAGCTGAGAGGGACCTCTGGAGATCATCTGGTCCAGCCTTCTGTTGAAAGCTGGGTCTTAGATTTGTTGTTTTTTTTCAGATGCCTGCCAAGTGAAGTCTTGAATATTTTCAGGGACATTCCACCACTTCTCTGGTCAACCTATTCCAGTCTTTTAATTTTTCTGATGGTAAAGAACTCTTCCTGTATCCAGATACAATTTCCCTTGAAGAAATTTGCACCTGTTGCCTCTTGTCCTGTGGATCCTTCTGAAGAGAACTCCCCATCTTCTCTATCTGTTAAGGCTTGGAAAACTGTGATTAGATCCTCTCCTGAGCCTTCTCTTCTTTGGGCTGAACACATCCAGTTTCTTGAAGCTTCTGTGAAGATTTCCAAACATCTTATGATATTCATGGTCCTCTGCTAGACCCTCTCTCTTTTTTTCAGTTTTTGTCATGAGCTTGGGAGACCAGAACTGGACACAGCATTCCAAGTGCATCCTAATAAATGTCAAGTAGAGTGGAAATTTGTGATCTGCTGACTGTACCCTTACCAATGCAACCCAGGGCTCATTCTGCCTTCATTGCTACAAAGGCACTGCTCACTCAAGTTTAGTGCTGTCCATGAGAATCCCCAGGTCCTTCTCAGCAAAGCTACGCTCCAAGTAGTCAGATCCCACCCAGCTTGTACTGCTGCTTAGGATTATTCTCTCTCATGTGCAAGACATTACATTTATGCAATCCTTGTTGGCCCTGTTTTCTAGTTTGTGGAGACCTGTCTGCATGGTGAATATTAGTTCTGGTGTATAGTACCTCTCCACCCAGTTTGGTATAATCCACAAGTTTGGTAAGCAAGCATTCAGTTCTATCATCCACATCTTTTATAAAGATTTTGAACAGTATCAAACCCAATACCAGCTGCTAGGAACTCATTTTGTGACTAGCTGCCCATGAGCCAGTAAAAGCATATTAGTCTTACCCTAAAAGTTCAAGCCATAACATTTCTGTAACATTTTGTAAAGAATAGTTTATGTAAGCAGCTTGGTAAATCAGATTATTTGAACTTTCATCAGGATCAGTAGGTATTACCACTCTGATTTTTACATTTTTCCCTGAAATTTTGGACCAGAGTTATCTTCAGAAACAGTTGCATTGCAGCTAGTAACGTCCTAACGAGTTGTATATGGAGAAATACTAAATCTGCGTGAGGAAAAGAGCTATTGAGAATGCTCACTGAGCTGCTATGAAAGACGGTTCAAAAGTTTTCTGTTGTGAGAAACATATCTTCTGTGTGAAAAGCAAAAAAGAGGTAAAATTGACTTTGTTTCCTGGAGAACTTGACTGGCCTATAGATTTTGAGACACCTTCTCACTGTGCATACTCTGTTCCAGAATTTATTTTTTCTCTCTTATTATTTTTTATAGCAAACTTTTTAATGAAAGTTATTAATGGAACTTCTTAAGAAGTGGTTTTAGGTCTAACCTTATTTAATATTTTCATTAGTGACCCTGACGAAAAAAAAATAGGATTGTATAATGAAATTTCGAGTTGACATAATGTTTGGAGTTATTATTAAAACAGATGAAGATCATGGTGTCACACATGACACCATGAAGTGGAGGCCCTTGAGAACTGGTGTAATAGAAATGGAATTAAATATAATAGTACAATGTACAAGATAATGCATGTAAAACTAATGACAGGAACTTCTGTTCTTAACATGAAGCTCATCAGCTGCAAAAGTTAGTTGCTGTGGCAGTTAATCAAAGGGTAACTATGAAATGCCAGTGTGATGTGGCCATGAGAGACTAAATGTAACGCTAGAAGATCTACCAGACAGACTCTATCAGGTGAAAAAGGATAACACTCACTGTGTTTCTGATCACTGATGATGTGGATTTAGTAAACCTGAATGGATTTCTCTTTCATCAACTTTTCCAGCCACAGCTTGAATGTACAGGAACTTTTAGGATTCCCAGCACTGACTTTTGGCTGCATTGTGATAGTCTACACTATCACTATATTGATCACTACTTGCTGCATGAATACATAACTACTTTTGCTTGTTCCAAACTTGTCACTTACTGGATTTTTTTTAATGTCTTGTACTTTTACTGAAGGAGATAGTGGAAAATCTGTCTTTATTCATCCTCTCCATGAAGTCATGATTTTATAGATCTTTATTTTGTTCTTCCTTAACCATCATTTTCCCAGCTTATTCTTTTCTTGTGAAAGCCATTCCATACCCTTAGTCATTATCCACCTCTGAACCTTTCCTAATTCTACCATATCTTTTTCTGAGGTGGCAGATCAGAGCAGTCAGACTATTTAAGATGTGGTTTCTAAGCACTAAAGATAATGCACAAGAGCATTTCAACAGGCAAGGGACATAGAAAGATTTTTAGTCCATTTTTTAAAGACTTTGTATATATAATAGAGGAATATTAGAGGAATAATAAAGGAATCAATCTGGTAGCCAAGATCCCGTCAGTCCTTCTAGTTTCTTTGTTCCTGAATAAAGAATAAGAAGTCATTGAATTAACACAAACATATTTGCTTGAAAATTTATAAAATTGTTGTAGAGAAAGGTTCTTTTACTAACTTGATTTGGGAAGAAGAAAATGTTTGGTTTCAGGTAAGATGCAGTTTGGGAATGCATGATAATAGTCTGCAAGAAATAATTAAGGTTTTATCTAATGTAATCAACAAAACATATTTTTTATCAGTAATTTAAGTTAAAATTTAATAGAACAGTGACTCCTGCTATTTTACAGAAAATAATGTTTTAAAGTATGTGTGAAGGTCTTATGTATGGAAGAAATACAAAAAGAACATAGATGCTTTTCTAGTGGCCTCAAATGAGTGGTGACTCGCAGACTTGCCAGAAATGCAAAAAAAATGAAGGACAGGTGAAAGTACTTATACCAGTGGCATAGAACAAATTATTCCTCCGGAGAACACTAAGTATAGATTTCTTTACATTGGTTAGAAATGCTTTCCTTGGAGTATTACTCTTAACTGCTGCAGATGTGTCTACTAAGCAAAGCTACAGCTATGCATATCAAATCTATTTAACTAGACAGGATCTATCTGTGACAGCAACATGCAAGAATAGGTTACAGTTTAGTAGTCCTAGTTTAAGCAATTTGTGATACAGTACAGCATGGGCATATCACTAGAGGACCCCTCTGCCTCAGTCAGTGGAAAATGATGTCACAATACTTTGGAACAAAATGTACCAAGTCAGATTTAGATCTGTAGTTAGCACAGCTAAATTACAGAATAGCACAAATAAAGCAAAGGATGTTATGTGTTTGTATTCTGTTCACTGGAAAGCTGAATGTTTGTACTGCTAGAAACTAACATAACGGTCACTGAAGACACAGAGACGAATTGAACAGCACAAAATACTGGATATGATTTATGATTCTTGAAGCTCTTACCTTTTTTTGGAAATTACACTCTCTGTGCTATAAAAGGTAGAAAGTCATAAAGGCATTTTTTGAAAGAAGATACACAGAATTGTAGGAAGTTCTTATCCTAGATGTATGGTTGTAAAAACAACAACAAAAAAAGACAAGAATTTCTTAGGGAAGAATCAGTAGTCAAGGACATTTGAGATTAGTCTGGCTCTCGTAGTCTCTTCCAGCATTTGAGATTAGCTTTGTTAATTAGCTTACATAATAGATATCTTTTAAGTACTTTAAATTCTATTATCTTAGTACCAATTGTTATTACTACTATGTTTGGCTGAGAAAAAAGTTCCAGCATGAGCATTTTGGAATTGAACTATCATTCAGCCACTCAGACTATGCAATACACTGACCAGCAGTGGCTTAGATAAGGAACTAAGTGGAGCTGAACCAAATCTCTTCCTCCAAGACAACACAGGCAGAAAGGATGGTCTGAGAGAAGACTTTCCTTCAATTCTTCCAGTGCTTCAGCCATCAATACTGAAGGGCTGGAAGTCATTAGAAAGCCAGATCCATAGCATTTGAGGAAGAGATGTGATAAGGAAGATTAGGTAACGGCCAGAGAAAGGCAATGGAAGGTAAGGACAGTTATATTAAATGGAAACCAAGTCAAATGACTTCTGTAAAGAAACAGAAAAAGGAAATTTCTCAAGGTGAAATGCTTAATTTTCCAAGAACTTCTCATATCTCCTTGGTGTTTTATTCTTGTTTAAAAATGCTGCGATAATGGAGATGGATACTTTGACATATAAAGAGTTTTTATGGGACAATCTGAAAGTAATTTTAAAAAAAAAGCAATTAACAAAACCTGTAGATCATTGCCAAAGTGTACTTTCAAAGAAGTGAAATATACCATTTAAAGAAGAAAGCAAACTATAATTTGGGTGATCACTGTTACTCTTCTTTCTCATCTGTTTCTATTTTAAGCCATATAAATTAGGCTTTTTTCCAAAAATATATTACCACTGAACTATGGGTTTTTTTGTTGTTGTTTGTTTGTTTGTTTTTAAGGTAAGAGGACCGCCTCTTGCGGGTGCATTTAAAGAAAGACCAGCAAAGCCCACAACATTTCGCAAGTTTTATGACCGAGGAGACCTCCCAATTGCTATTGACCATTATAGTAGAGGAAACAGAATCTCCTGGAAGGTAAGTCATGGCATAGCTGTGACAGCCAGCTGAGCTTATTGAAGTGACATCTCTCATAGTCAAACAAAGTCAGCTTATAAGTAAATAAACTGAAATAATTTCTTAGCAAATGGAAGGTAGTGGGGAAGCCATTAGAGAAAGGCCCCTGAGTCAGCCGTCTACCTTGGCTAGCAATTAAATTATATGCTGCAAAAAAGATGACAGAGTTGCTTTGCCTTAGAGAATTGTCTCCTGCCCAATTTATCTCTATTTTTATGAGGACCTGGCAATGCAGCCTGTTTAGGCAGTCCATCAAATGGTGGAAGTGGCTGGATACAGTGAGCAGCAGCCATTTATCTCCCCCAAATTTCACCTTCCTGCAGGACACTTCCAAGTAGAAGCCTTAATTACCTAAATGGATAGGTCAAGATTGCCTGCTCCCTGAAAATACAGAGCGGAATACAAACGAAGGCCGATTCTCATTCCACAGCTGTACTCTCAGTCTACAGCATATGTCAGACAGCGTAATCGCTGTCATACGTGCCCCTGTTAGAGGCTGACCTCCACTGCTGAAACCATTACAGCTCCGACATTTCTCTGACAAAAGGTTAATTGGCTTCAAAATAAATGTATTGCCTAATGACTCCATTCTAATGCGGCTGTGTTTCTTTCTAAAAGGCTTGGTGATGTTATTTGTAAAACTTGCCAATCTTCTAAGTAACTACCGCAGACTTTTAAATTTAATTTGAAAAATGAATGCTGATCTTTAACCTGTTCCTACTATTTAATTATTTTGGTTATCATGAATTACTTTATTGTTTTGTGTTTTTTATTGGACTAGAATAAGATTTTGCTGGAAGCAATGAATTACAGAAAATGAACATGATATGCATAAGCAAAATATGTCATATTTGTAGAACGTTTTAAATTGTTCATGTCATGGTTGTGATACCAATTTTAAATGTATAGCTCTGTTAATTCAACACCAAAAGGAGGGATTTTGCCATTTTATAGCTAATTGTACTCCTAATGAAGCCAACAGGATTAGACCTATAGTGTGGTAAGTAGTACTATGTAATTTGTTAGTAACTAGATTTTAAGGTAGCTGTTTTGCTTATGGAAGTATAGAAGAGAGATTTGTGCTACTGTTTTTGCCCAAAGCAGTGCTGAATCGGCACAAGGAACAATTAGTAGTTGTTGCAGCAAAAGGAATCTCTATCCAACAAGACTTTACCCACGATCAGACTAAGATTCCAGTGCAACTGGTCTTTAGGCAACCCTAGAAATGACCATTCTGGACTAAAACTCACATTCTTACAACGTGAGTCTACGCTATAATCTTTCATCACCAGGTAAGACCCAAATATGATTTGCAAACAACTGCAAAAATCCGCAGCATTTAGTTTTTATCTTGTGGCTCTATAGCTTCCAATTTGTCAAAATTGGACTGAGAAGTACAGACAATTTACCTAATTTTAATTGCTATTCAAGGCATATACTTCCATCATAAGGACCAGCATTCCACTAGATTATGCTAGTGACTGCTTAGTTGGCTTAGGACACAAGGAAATGGAATGAAACTTCAGCAGGGAAAGTTCAGATGGGACTTTAGGAAAAGGTTCTTAACTGAGTCACTGGAACAGGCTGCCAAGGGAAGTAGTCACAGTACCAAGCCTGCCAGAGTTCAAGGAGCATCTGGATGATGCCATTAGTCATTTAGTCTAAGATCCAGCACACATTTTTCCTTTACACAACTTGCAATCTTATAGACCTAATGTCTCCCTACTGTCCACCACAATAAAACATTGGCATGTAGCTAGTGCAATGTAGGACTGAAATGTCATGCAACAGTTGTTTGTGCTGTTGCTGTTAATCCTTTCTTTCACAACAAATCATCACTACTTCAGCATGCGTGCAAGAAGGCAGCATAGTATCGGAATATTCCATTCTTACATTAGCATATAGCAGGGTCCAACTTTATTTCCCTTATTCCATGCCACTTGATTTAGGCACAAATCAATCCATACTGAGTTCTGTGGCAGGCACTCAAGAAAACAATACTGAGGTAGTAGAATTACTTGAGGCTGTTGTTTAATTTGGCATGCAACCATCATTGATTATTGTGCAGTTTAAGTAGATGAAGCAGGCAAATAGGAGGTTTCTAGTTCAAACTTTACATTAGATGGCTTCTAAATTCTCAGAGGCTACCCACCACTGCAAAGGGGTGAAAATGTTGTTCATTAGCTAATTTTTAAAGGTGCAGATAATGTCTGTATTTTTCACTTCTTTTAAGGACATGCAAATAGTCAAAATACTCAACATGCGTCTAATGACTAGTTTTCATCAATTCATCATATTTATTTGTAAATCTGATTAAATGAGTCATTTTTTTAGAAATATACTCAATACTGCTTAAATTCATGAAAATGAAAAAATATTTTAATAACGAAATGTGTCTAGACAAAATGTTCTATAAAATCTTGGCTGATCTGTATTTATTTGCATGATTCATGATTATAGTGGAAGGATAAAAAGAAGAAATAAATAGTAACAGTGATATTTTAATCCTGCTATAATTGCACAATATCAATGTTTTATTGTGAAGGGGTTTTCAGATGTAACGCATATCATAGTTAATTTTACTCTGTTTTTCTACCAAGCAGCGCATCAGAGAAAATGCAGGGGTATGTCAGAAACATCATTTGTTTTGACAAATGAAAATACTATAGGATTTTGTTCTTTTCAGGTTTTTTTAATAATTTGTTTAATAAATTTGTTTTTGTCCACTAACAGATAATTAATAACAGTGTGGCTTGAAAATGTATTTCTGATATCTATCAAACATAAAAGTTTGTAACATAAATTGTTGTTCTTTTAGAGTTAGATAATAGTAGAAATTTATCTTTTTAGATAAAGAATGTGTTAAAGTATTTATAAGCTCTTTGACTACTTATGTGGGATCCTGCAGTTCCCTTGTAGCCTATGTGTATCATCAATTTATTTCAAAATGTAGTAATATATTTTTTGCACAATCTCATAGCAAGCTGCGAATAATAAAAGCTCATAGTCCAGGTCTGAAAAGGACTTCCAATTTTAAATATACATTACTGAATTAAAAAGGTCAGAATGCAATTAAGCCTTTGACTAAGAAAGTTGATAAAACCAAGAAAGTATTTCTGAATTATTAAGAGAGTGTTTGAAATGCAATCTCTCAGTATTGTACAGAAAGTCATCAGAACATTTAAAAAAATATATTTTTAGAGAGTGGGGTTAATTAGGAAAGTTATTATGCAGGAGAAACAAAGCTTCTATTCTTCAAAAGATTTTTAGCAATTTCAAAGAAATGAAAACCAAATTCAAAACCACGAACTTCTCAAGCAAAATATCAAAATGAACATCATTTCCATCTTTTGGGGTGTATGATTTTTTCCAGAATAGCTATGTTCACTAAGGATATGACTTTTACCATTTTAATTTCTCTTCGTACTCTTTCCTACATAGCTTGTTTATTTCAGGGGCTAGTATAAGCTATGATAGCAAAATTACTTCTGGGTGTTAGAAATGAGGTGCAGTGGTAAGAGAAAGTGTTCTGTCCATAACGTCATGAATTTGGATTGTTCATACTCTTTTTTCTTGTGCAGACTAATGAAGGTTGTATTTGTTAGCAAACAACAGGGACTGCAAATAATTTGAACATGCCACAGAACTGCAATTTTTACTAGCATCTCTCTTTCTTAATTTGATTTTGTCAGCATGGTGTGTATTATTGTGTTGGCCAAAAAGTGATTGCAGGTTTTTTTATAGATGGACATACATGTCTTGAAATGTGACTAACTTAATTTTAAACTGCAGATTCATTATGTAACCTGACAGCTGATGGTTCAAGATTGTTTTAAAAAAAGAGAGTGCACGATTTCGTTAACAATTATTTATTTGGTGTTGATTTGAAAATGGAAAATCAAAAGGAACATTTTCATCATGCTTTGCTGTATTACTTCTGAAAAGGAAAAAAATGTTGTGCAAGCTTATAAAAAGTCATGTGTATGGTGAAGATGCCTTAAAACTTACAGCAGTGTCAGAATTGGCTTGCTAAATTTTTGGTCTGGAGTTTCTGGTATTAAAGATGCACCACATTCAGGAAGGCAAATCAAAGTTGGTAACAGCAAAATAAAGGCATTGATTGGCTCCAGTCGGCATTTAACGCCATGAGAGGCTGCTTAACATACCGAAATTGAGCATTGAAAACCATTTAAAACAACTCGGATACATTAGCAAGCTCAATATTTGGGTGTCCCATGAGCTCAAATTAATCTCACTAAGCGCATTGACATCTGCCATTCTCTCTTGAAACAATCCATTTTTTAAATGTATGATGTCAGGTGACAGATAGATTGTCTACAACAATGACGAATGAAAAAGATCATGGAGCAAGTGTGATGAAACAGCTCAAAGCACTTAAAAGCAAATATTTACCAAAGGAAGGTTCTGCTGTCAGTTTGATGGGATTTCAGAGGTGTTGTGTGTTTTGCATTGCTTCCATGGAACCAAACCATTAATTTGGATGTGTACTGTCGTCAAATGGATAAATTAAAAGATGCCATTGAACAGAAGCATCCAGAATTGGTGAATTACAAAAGGGTTGTATTTCTCCCTGATAATGCTAGATCACATACTAGTTTGGTCACTTGTGAAAATTATTTCTGCTTGGATAGGAATTGTTACCACATCCACCACATTCAGCAGACCTGGCACCATCAGACAACCATTTGTTTCTTCGCAAAATGCCTTCAATGGTAAAAACTTCACTGTTGATGAGGTTTTCAAATAATTCGTGGAACTGTTTTTTGGCAAAAAAATGTAAGAACTTTTTTGAACATGGAGTCCTGAAGTTGTCTGAAAGATGGCAAAAGGTAATTGAACAAAATGGACAATATGTTGTTTAATACAGTTTTTGTTTCCTATGAAAAAATCACCTTTCATTTGCTAAGGAAAACATACAATTACTTTTTGGCCAAAATTTA